CGGCGAATGAACCTACTGTTGGTCAACGGCTACCATGGGACTGCATCTCCTTACGATGCTCCACTGCCTTGTGGATCAGACCTTTAGGTCAAAGGCTCAGGGTGTGGCCCCTTAAGAAAACCACCTGCTTCGGTTTGGGCACCCAGGCAGTATCACAGCCCACACACAAATAAATGAAATGATGAATTCTATTGACGATACTATTCTCGCTCATATTAGAAGCAAGACAATTTACACTATTATTATTATTACTATTATTTACTACGTCGCTTTTTCACTCCCTTTATTCCCAAATTGTATACCCTTCATTTCCGACTTATGCAGTAGCTCGCCCATGGTGGAAACTCTGTCCTATCTAAATGATCTCCAGTCACTGTCTGGTTGAAAGTGAATGTTTCCACCGATTACGAATACTGAAGCAGTCTTTCTGAAACCAAGTACGCCGTTCAAGCTGGCCTCCTTCAACGTTCGCACACTAATGCAGATCGAACAACAGATAGGGTTGGAAATGTCTTTACAAAGTCTTAATATCAACGTCTGTTGTCTATCCGAGACCCGTATTCAAGACTCTAGTGAAGTAATACAAATTCGTTTTCCATCTGTTGCTTCTAAAAGCTTGTTTTACGCACGTTTATCTGGGGACCATGTGGCATCTGTCTGGTCTTGCAGGCGTTGGTGTTGCACTAAGCGCTAGCGCTGAGGCAGCACTAATCGATTGGATCCCCATCAACAGTCGGTTATGTGTTGTCAGATTAGAAAGTTCCATCAAAGTAAGAAGAAATCGATGTGAGAAGCGATGTCTTTTTGCCATCTTCGCCTACGTTACGACAGATTGCAGCTCGGATGTGACTAAGAATGAGTTTTATCACCAGTTACCTGTTCTACAGAAAGTAAATTCGACAGATATTGTAGTATTAGCTGGAGACTTGAATGCTCAGGTCGAGCGGCTAGGCTCAGAAGAGAGTCGTTTAGGTAGTCGGTGGGGACTTATCGGTCGCAGGTCAGATAACGATGACCGGCTACTACAATTTTGCGCAGACTACAACCTGTTTCTGGCTAGCACTGACTACCAGCACAGTCATCGCAGATGTGCCAACTGGGGTCCTCTCTCTGCATCTCAAGCCTGGACTCAGATTGATCACATCGCGATCAGCTACCGCTGGCGTGGTTGTGTACAAGACTGCCGCTCCTTTTGGAGTACCTATCTGGAATCTGATCACTCCCTTATTTGCACCAATCTCACCTTACTTTTCGGTGGCCGAAGGATTGACCACCACCAACGGATCGATGTTAGTAAACTGGCTGCAACTTCTGTTGCAAGTAAGTATCGAGCGGAGCTAGCTTCTAGACTAGCTACCATCCCACCGAAAAGTATAGATGAGCATTGGTTGCATCTTCACGACGCCATGAAAATGGTGAGTAAAGCCGCTTGCGGCTTCGCGAAACGTCCCGCTTACAAGCACTGGGTTTCTTCTGGCTCCTTACAACTGATGGAAGCCCGTCGGTCTACTCCGGGTGACCGTGAATTTGACCACAAACGAAGGCTGTTACGTAATGAAATCGGGCAAAGCTTGCGGAAGGACCAAGAAGCGTGGTGGTCTGAGCGTGCTAATGAGATGGAAGCAGCAGCTGCATCTGGTAACTGCCGGAGGCTCTTCCAACTCACTCGAGTCACTGGCAGCAAGAAGTCTGGTGTGAGGGAAACAATCTGTGAAGATGACGGAATACCAATCACTAACATCTCTCGACGTCTTGGACGATGGGCGGAATTTCTCGAAGAGCAGTTCAACTGGACTACTGCTCCGGCAACATCAACCGGTTTGTCCTGCCCCCCATGGCCGGTGACGACTGATCCACCAAACGAGGCGGAAGTCCTCAAGGAAATCCAACTCTTAAAGCGCTACAAATCACCGGGTCCAGATGACTTACTTCCGGCTATTTTTAAAGATGGTCGTGACTTTCTGGCTAAGGAACTGACTGAGTTGTTTACAAAGGTCTGGAAGCTAGAGAGCGTTCCAACGTCATGGAATGAGTCGGTAGTCGTCTCTATCTTTAAAAAGGGTTCACGTTGTTCCTGTAACAACTATCGGGAGATAAGTCTATTTCCGATTGCGTCCAAACTATTGGCTTCTGTCATTCTTCGTAGGTTGTTCTAAACTCGAGAAAGACTGACTCGCGAGGAGCAGGCTGGATTTCATTCTGGTCGAGGATGCATTGATCACATCTTCACCCTCCGCCAAATGTTAGAACACCGTCATACTTATCACAGGCCAACAATTGTAGTGTTTCTTGATATCAGGGCTGTCTTCGATTCGTTGGACAGGACTGTTCTCTGGGATTGTCCATTGAATAAGGCTGTGACCGAGAAGTTTATTATTATCTTAAAAGCCCTATATACAAACACCTCAGGTAGAGTGAAGCCATACAACCACCTTTCTCCATTGTTCTATTCAAGCAATGGGGTTAGGCAGGGTTGCCTAATCTCACCTTTTCTCTTCAACTTTGCTATCGACGACGTTCTGGAAACAGCTCTGATGAATGTAATTAATGGCGATGTGGATCTGTTGCCTGGAGAAAGACTTCTTGACCTCGAGTATGCGGATCATATTGTCTTATTGTGCGATTATACCCGAGCCATGCAGTCCGCACTTAATCAGTTGGCAATCAGTGTCCGCAAGTACGGTATGCGCTTCGCACCTTAGAAGTGATAAGTACTTTTACAAAACCGGCAAGACCCTAAACCTGCACTCACCCTGGGTAGTGAGCAGATAGAAGTAGTCGAGAAGTTCGCGCATCTGGGTAGCTGCGTAAGTGCTGGTGGTGACGTGAGTGATGAGATCAATTCACGTATAGTGAAAGTCAGAGCGGCTTATGCCAATCTGGGCCATCTTTGGCGCCTTTGTGATGTTAGTCTGTCTGTAAAAGGTCGGATCTACAACGCGTCGGTGAGAGCAGTTTTGCTCTATGCTTGTGAAATCTGGACTCTCCGAGTTGAGGATGTTAGACGACTATCTATGCTTGATCATCATTGTCTCCGAAGGGTTGCTGACATCCAGTGGCAACACCATGTTAGTAATGTAGAGGTTCGGCATCGTGTGTTCAGGCACAGAGACGATAATTCAATTGAAGTTAGTATCTTGAAACATCGACTTCGGTGGCTAGGACATGTTCTGCGAATGTCGTCCCAAAGAATTCCTCGTCGTGCATTATTTGTCGACGCTGGGACTGATTGGAAAAAGCGGAGAGGAGGTCAGTGTATGACTTCGTGTCATGGTATGAAAAAAAGCTGTACATGACTGGTTTCTATCGGTCCTTCACTCGACCTAGTTGTGGTCCTAGAGATGGTGCAACACATTGGCTAGAGACGTTATCAGATATGGCTCAGAATAGAAGCCAGTGGCGATCCTGCTGCAACCTTCTTTTACTTTCTACATAAAGAGTGGTTCTAACTTTCTTAACTGAAAGAGTCTTCTGGTTGTACATTTCAGTCCGCCTTATCTTTTCATCCCTTCTCTTCCTACTTTTATTATTTTGTGCGGCGCATATGTATCTGGTGCCCTTTTGTACCAATATATATGTTTAAATAAATAAATAAATAAACCCCCACTGCAAGAAGGTAGTGAGTAGGACTTCCCTGGCAGAGTTTGCATGCACGTGGCCGTGTGAGAACATTTCAAAAGAGAGTGCAGACTCTCCCCACTCTCGGCAGTACCAGAGCATTTGGGGGCTTCCGAAATAACCACCGGTCCGCAGGAAGTGGCTGCATAAGAAAACCACCTGCTCCGGTTTTGGTGCCCGAGCAATATTCCAGCTCACACACAAATCATTCGATTTGTGTGGCGCATATATATTTGCTGTCTTCTACTAATATTTATGTGTTGAAATAAAAAGGATACTAGTAATTAATAAAACAGTCAGATCTTAATTGATTGAAGAACAAGTGACCTACAAGCTAATTTCCTCCAATCACCTGTGATTGTTTATCATATCTATTTTTTGCTCATATTCTGTATCTAAACCAGTTACTTTATTACGCGAGAAATGAGTTTCTCTGGGTTAGTGATCTTGTCTTTGATTTCAAATCATTCACAGGCTTAAGTCAATAATGCTGCTTGATGAGCAGCCATCACTTCGTCATACTTTACAGCATTGAATTTGTCGATTGAATAACATTCTATCCACTGATTTTGGCGATAGGAATTTCGCATCACCAATCATTAAAATCCTTTGTCCATAACAACCTATCGCTTTTTCAAACAATCAACCAGCGATATAAAATCAACTTATAACATGAACGAATGTTTACTGAAGTTTGAGTAGAAACGAATACGTAACTTGAATGGTATTAAAAAGTATATCAGATCATTTGCTTAAACACATAAAAATGAAAACCACCAGCCTACACACATAATAAAAGTAATTTGTAATTAATATTTAGAGCATAAAACGTCATAATCAAACAGCTGTTGCGTCTAACATTATGTCAAGCCCATATAGGTTGCTCTAGCTTCCAGACAGGCTAATTTATTTGTCACTAAAGTCACATTTTGACCTTGTCGGTCATTCGCTTACAACCTTGACTACTTTTATATGAGCGTGTGTGTACCACTCACACCATTCATCACATGTCTTTAACTTATTTTCGTCTAGTCAGAAATATTAACTTACGCCTTATCAAATGAAGTTGGCACACTTGCCTTCTTTGACCTGCTTCTCTAATTCGTTTCCCTGATTGTCCATGTGGGACGAGTGTATGAAATATACATATCCAAAATTCATGCTCATATTTGGCTTATTTTACTCCGTTATTAACTAACGCGAATTAAGTTGATAATTGTAAACGAGGATGGCCGGGATGTATATTCCGTTGACAACCTCGTTTGACCAACTTGGAGTCAAATAAGTGGGCCACGAAACAGCAACTTACAAATAGCTTGATGAAGGTTTAAATTAACTTGGTACTTTAGTTATGAAAACATATCATCGACCGACAGACTTACCATCTGGTTCTCTCTCTGAGATATGCTGCAAGTTTGAAGTACTTGATTGAGTGTAAACTGAGGAAAGCATGAAGTCTGAAGGTTCGGCGCTCATACCAAAGTCCCCTTTTGTTCGATAAGAAAAGTCTCTCACCCCTTGTATATCTCCTGGAGGAGCCGGACCGTTGTGCCCCGCTCTGGAAATGCGATTATCTGGACGATGATAAGGATGAGAATTATTTAAATGTGGAGGATCATTTGATAAAGGGTGGTAACCAGATAAACCATCCTTCGCACATTCCGAGTGGCAACCTGGTTGTGATTTTCCTATATGACCAACATGATTAGAAACAGCAGATCCATAATTGATGGCATTTGTCTCACCCATCGGTTTGTCATGAGACTTCCAAGCACAACAAGCACAAAAATTTCCCATTTTTAGTTTGTATTTTGAGCTAAACACATAGAAAACGAGGGTACTACTAACTCATTGTCCGAACAAAAGACAGGCTGAAGATTTTCAAAAACAAAACATGATTTATATTACTGTATTATAAACACAATAAATTCAGCATCAGAGTACCATCTTAGACCTAAAAGTAAGTCAATGCGCTTGTAAACATTTCTTATGCGCTAACGCATACTTGTTTACTGGACTGGACCAAATTTAACTAAAGCATACATAGTTATACACTAATTAACAGTTAGTTATTCAGGTTGTTGTTATTTTACACTATAGTTCACAACAATCTAGATGAAAAGATTTCGGATGTGATGCAAACAGATAAAACATATGTTTTTACAATGTCATTTTGCAGAATATATAATTTCGTACCTTATACAGTATCTTCGTTCTGAAACATGGTTAGTGAAGAAACATTTTTATGCTAATGATATAGTGGAAGAAATACCGACTGAACTAGTAAACTATTGCAAGAACATTTCACGCTTAAATTATCCGAGGATTGGAAGTCTATAACGAATTTGACTTGACGGGATGTAGAGTCGTACATGAAAGGTGTCAGTAAAAATTGTAGCTTTTTGGTGGTTGTAGTGATTGAAGGACGTAATTAATATCATGATCCATACCCTGCAGGAATATGGATTGCTGCCTAGAGCATTGCTGAATCTGGAAAATGCTGTGAAGAGACCTCATAACTACACTGATTCATGCAGTTACTGACTGTAAGTTTAAGCCATTTTAACAATGCGGACTTAATGATTAAAGCCATCATAGGTATCATAACTCAAAATGCATAAGTGGTGTGGCGTGGCTTCGTTTCTTAACTCGTTTTGTATCTTAAAAATCTAACGCATCACCATTTTTCTCACTTTATATAGACCAAGAACCTTCATAACTCTAAGATAATCACTTTCTAGTTTCTGCTTTATATCAGTGAGACTAATTTTTTGAAACAGTGCCTAATATATGTCCTACCTCGTGTTTCATTCAATTAATACATATAACACAAATCTGAGTCATCTAGATCGATGGAGTTTGTAAAGCGTCAAATGATTTACTGTTTCAGTTTGCCAGTGTTAACGTCGCAGACGGAAAATCACCGAGATGTAGCGAGTAAAAGGAAAGATATAAAGTGCAATAAATCTAAGCATGAGGAATACAATTCACAAGTCACGAACGAAAATTAAGGATCAAAAATACAAAATGACACCAAACTAAAGATTTAGGAGATGGAGTATAAATGCAACTGTTCGGTAAGATTAATTCTGTGCTACCCGGCGGCTTGAAACAACCGTAATTTAGACCAGTGATATTTCAAACTTCAAACCGTTGTATAGATCAGGAGACGAGGTAGGGAAACAGGTTTTTAAAAAACCAATTAAGCTAGAACACAATACAACAAGGAGAGAATATTAGAAAATTAGCCACCGACCGAACCTGTTCGCTGAACGATACACACAAAACACTACACTTTCAGTATATAGAGTACAACCATAAGGACATTTGTATCTTTAACACGTAGATAAGTATATAATGACCTATATATGTGGTGCACTTTGAGAAGAAAGTTCCAAGTCTGCCACTTGACACACTTCGTACCTCGTAACTCAGTGGTAAAGCCTGAACCTACGTTTTTGACTTCACCCATAGCTATTATACAAACCACATGCTTCAGCAGCGGTGTCTGTAACCTAGTAGTTATGATCATCGTTTAATATCTACACAAAATAGTATATATGAAGTTGTTGACGTACTAGGAAGTCGGATGTAAAATGGGCGAGCTTAACAACTAAAAATGTCTTTGTGTTAAATGCATATTTAAGGTTGCAAGTTACCCATGAGCCCGAAGACCTTGAGATTTATAATAACCAGATTTCAGAGTCAGAAATATAACCTTCAATCTTTTTCTATGGAAAAGAAGCATAAGTCTTTAGTTGTAAGGATAGAAGGTTAGTTGACTTACATTAATCTCATAATCTGCGGTACGGTGATGGAAATCGATTTAAGCGTCTCAGTCTGTCTTCATAAGATAAGCCAGAGAGACCTTTTGCCGTTTCGGTCCATTGCCGTTAAACTTGTTCTAGCTTATCCACTTCATTTATTTGTCCATGTAGTAAAATGACTCACGAATGTCATATATTATCCTGGTGCCTTTGTTAACAGAAGACCTACCAGTTACTCGTTGAGAATTAAGACTCCTTGGTTTTTATAGTCAATTACTTTAGGTAACACAAGTCAACTTATTTTGCAGTAATATGAATCAATTAAGTTATGCATTTGCATCACCATATTTTCTATTGACATTAACTTCAAGTGACGACCTACACATCTACTCAGCCAATGGATTTAGGTCATCGTGTAATGTTATTCTACTCGATATGCTGTGTGTGGGTCTCAAAATATTTATGTCACCTGCAGAGGAAAGAACAGATGCTTTTGTCACAATGCTTACGTCATTTACATAAAGGAAGACGACCGAAGATTTCACCTTTGTGGACTTCACATTTTACATATTCACACGTTGATGAAGCCTCGTTTGCCCGTACCTTTTATCTTCTTTCACTGAGAAAGTTACTTATCCAGTTTATAATTCTATAATGGGTCATGAAACTTTCTAGTTTTAACTTATGGCCAAGATGAAGAATTTTGTCAAAAGCTTTGCTTAGATCTATGGAGATTACTCATACTGGACCATATTTATATCTCTCTGCATCCGAATTTCTCCTTGCAATGAGCAGATTTGTTAGGTGTGAAAAGCCTTTCCTAAAAACATACTGTGCCCTGGATAAAAGATTCTTCCAATCCACATTGTTTTAAATGGCCATCCGAATAATTTTTCGTAAGTTTGACAACTAAACTGATAAGAACAACCAATGGATAGTTACTAACTAAGCATCTACTACCCGTTTTATAACCTGGACAGATGATCGTGTCTTCCTCGTCCTTTGGGAGTTTCAACTGACGCAAAGGCATATCAGACAGCATTGCCAGAGGTTTAGTAGCTACATACACCAGTGCTCTCATAATCCTGGGATCAAGACCATCATGATTTATGGCCTTGAATGGTTTGAGATGGTAAAGTGATCGTATGACAATCCCTTTCTCGATAACCAGAGGATCAATCGACAGGCTTCCTTTATCATAATTATTGGTTAGTCATTCACCATCGTCGGTAGAGAACACGCTACTGAAATATTCTGATGAAGCTTCAGCTTTTAAAACATCATTTCCTGCCAATGATAACGGGTTTTCCTGTATCAAAGTGGTGAGATTCCACAACTTCTACGATTTCCCTCTTCATATACGAGAACAACTTTCCCAAACTATTTTCACAATGCCTAACCAAATGTTTTTCATATGAAAGTTTAGCCTCATTAATCAGCACTTTGCATAAGTGCCTAGTCTTACAATAACTTAGTCTGTACTATCCAAAGCTGTGGTGGTAAATATACGCAAACGCTCTACCATGTGTCCTAGAAGTTTATTGATCTATTTGGTTATTCATTATAGAGATTTACTACGTCTACGTGGGGCTAAGCACGGTATTCACAGGGACATGACAAAACTAAGCGTATATTTAAATATGAGCCGTGCTTCTCCAACAATGAGCTAGTATCTACTGACCAATCTGGTGTTGCAGCACATTACTGTATGGCTGTTATGCTCATTTTCCACCCATTTGGGAGGGGTCTGATGAGATTTTTATATTATGTCGCAAGCCCTAAGCATGACTGACAAAACACCATTATCACTATTTGCCGACGGTGAAAGAATATCTAAATAAGCCATACTCTCGGTCGCACGAGTGACTTTTTAGTCTAACAAAGAAGATTCTTGGTCTGAATCAAACGTGTGAGTTCAAATACATTCTGTGTTAAAGCATGCTCCGTTACAGTCATCAGAAGCTAGTATTTATTGACAAGTCTGTTGTTACAGCACATATCTGTGTAGTTATTACAATTGCTCACTATGAATTTGGGCGAGCTCATGCAAGACAAGAGAGTGGGCGGAAGGAACGCATATCATGACCAGTTACAGGGTTTTTATATAATATAAATGCACGGCCTTCAGTTATCCACTTTCATCTTGCGGTGTTTTCCTCCACCCGAGTTGTCTTTTCTTTTGGCTTTCAAGTGCTCTACCTACACCATGCTTTTGACGCATTGAAACTTTTCTGTGTCTCAAGACTGTGACAGCCTCGACGCTGCGTTCCGCTGCATTCTACTTACAAACGACCTCGTTAGTAGTGTTCGCCACACTTTCCCCCCTCATTAGCTTTTAAAGCCCGCAGGCATGCTGACCTCTATTGTTCTGTTGTGACAGGTTCCCTTCTGTCAATCAACTTAATCCACTTTGGGATCTAGCTATGATTCACGTGTTTCATCTCGTTGCACTTCCTGGTGGTATACATTAATCAGCGTCCCTCGCCTACTGTGCATGGTCCCTCCCACTCGGAATTCGATTTTGTGAGCCAAGTACGCCTCTTGCCATTACCTTCCATCCTCCACATGTCATCTTATCTCTTAGCAAAAAAATTTGCTGTTTCCATCGGTGTCATTCGAATCTCTTCACGTTTATCCTTTGTTTCTGTAACACATTTCACATCACTTGCCCTAATTCGTCCTTTTCCTTGATATGATTTCATCTCTACGGCCACATCTTATTAATCCCTGGCAGTTGCTGTCTTCTACCGTACATAAACTGGAAAGACGACCTTGTTGTTTCTTGGGTTGAGACACGAGGATCTAACATCATTATCGGTAGTTCCGTTTCCCAATTACCTCCTGTTGTTGCCAGCCATTCATTTGGTGCTCCATTAATTCGTCCTGTTAGCCGTTGGTCTGTGAATAATATGGTGTTGGTAGGATCCTTTTGATGTTCAGGTGACCCAGGAAGGATGTACACTCGTCATCCTCAAAACATGGACCCTAATCTGCCAATATCATTTCCGGAACTCTGTGGCCTGCCACAATCTGTGGAATTACTGCATTCGCCACTGTCCTTCCAGATTGGTCAAAATTGTAACTGCGTCCGGCCAACGTGTAGTGGGCTGTGTCACAATTAAATGGTAGACGTCTGGGAAAACCGCCACACAGTGTTTACCGATCACAGATCTCCCACGGTTGTCTTGGGAATGGGCTGCAGACACCCGCGTACATATCGACCACCTTTCACTTACTGGCATTGGTTGCAGGCAAGCACCTATTTCATCACATCTTTCCTCAGTCCTGGCCAGTATTGGCTTTGTTACAAATCAGTTGTTCTTGCACCATCCATATGCCTCAGTTAGTGGCTTCCATTTCACATTATCCGTCAGCGTAATTGTCTCAGGATTTCCACTACCCAGCTCTCATCGTTCTCTTTCCAAGTCATCACGCCTTCAACACTCAGTCTCACCTGATATTTCAAATTCGGAAGTGTAGTTACATCCTTGTTCAGCCTTTAGTCAGGTCCTTCGGCTGATATTCGACTTAGTGCAATGAGTTGTGATTCGGGTTCCTGAAAGCATGCAAGTATCCCTGGTTCCAACTGTACGGTGTCAACATCTATGACCACTTCCAGTGAATCATTAACATTCACTGATAGTGATAGATAATCTGCATTCATAACTTCACTTCCCAACATGTGACCAATCGTAAAATCATACTTTGCAGGCGCATTGTTCATGATGATGATTTCCCCAATAAACTTTCTCTGATTTTACCCATCGTATTGGCTTATGATCAATCTCACAGTGAAATCGTTGACAAGGTAGATACACTCCGCATTTTTCTGCCAACCCAACATTATTTTTTGATGACTGAGTACTTCTGTTTGATAGGTTTTAAGACGCCGCTGGCGCCTTCCATAGCCACATTTTTCTATTTGAGCTCCACCCCCACTCATTAATAACTGCATTCGTTGGTGGGGATGGGTAAATTCAACGTCATATGTTCGTCATTTGACAGCTGTTTTATTTATTCAATCGTTTTTTACTCCTCTCTAATCCATTTAAATACTTCGTTACCCAGAAGTCTGTAGAATGATGCTGCCGTCTCATTGAAGTTTATCATAGAGCGACTATAAAACTCCATTCTCTTTATGAACTGTCGCAACTTCCTTTTAGAGGCTAGCGATTTTATATCCTTGACTGTGAGGATTTTTCCGGGGGTCTTGTTTGGCACACCTTCAACTTCATATCCTTACAGGTTAACATTATTCTTGGGTATCTGAGACATCTTCCTGTTAAGTCTCAGGTCAAGCTCTGATCTGCTTTATGAGAGCCTCCAAATATCTCTAGTGGTTCTTATTTGTGTAGCTCCAAAAATTGATAGTATCTCTGCACCAGGCCGGCGCTTATTTTTCTGCTTAGTTACCAATATCCTAACCGGAGGTCCAATGCCGCAAACACTTTGGATTGCTGTAGGCGGCCCAATTTTTTAGCACTGTTGGCGGTGAAACTCCGCCTGTAGCATGGGCATGGAGTTAGCGACTCTATCTAGTAGAAAAACCAACTCGCTACAAAATCGCTAACCGGAAAACTAATTCAAACCATTTAAACTCTGCCCTGAAAGTTGAAGGAATAATTATTACGCCTCATGATGAAAGCCTAAATGTTTTCGGATTTCACGAGGCTGACGCCCCTTCTAACAACCAGAGCAACTCTTTATAAGTACATGGAATGTCCGAACAATGTGGGAGACAGGGAAGACCAGTCAAATAGCAACTGAAATGAGGAGATACCAATTGGTAATACTTGGAATCAACGAAACTCATTGGACACAAGCTAGACAACAA